TGAAGATGTTCTTGAATCCTATAAACTGGATCAAATCAAACTGTCTACATATACAAACAAATTAATCAGTTAGTTGTGTGACTTCAATAAAATGAGTAACCGCTGATTGATCCACATAAACCACTTAAATAGATTATCCTACTTGTTGTAGTCACAAATTCATTAACTTAGCAACTTCTTTAAAAATATTTATTTAGTACATTAAAGACAAATGTATAATATATGAAAGCTTTGAATTAAAGTAAAATAAACCGAATACAAAAATTTATATAAAAATCAAAACTAAAAATAAGGCAAAAAATCCAAAATTTATTAAACACTTAAACATTTCTCAATAATTTATTCATGAGTTATATTTATTGTGTTTTGCAAATGTTTTCAACACTAAAAAATTATTTTATTAACGTGCATAAATAAGGAATAAGAATTTCCTTAGCGCCATAATATTTAGCTAACTCCAATTCCAACCATCATCAGCACCACCACCAGCACCAACAATACCAACAGCCGCACACACACACACACACACAAACTAATGCAATTGTTTATGCAAATGCGCTTAGTCCTGCTTCCATTCACATAAGTGTGTGCAAAAAGGACACGAGCAATTTGTTGTTGTTATGTTGGCATATCATTTTTATCTTTCCCACTGAGATAAACGAGCGTTTTTTTGCTGAGCCGTTATAAGCCAAGGGTGCATATATAATTTTATTGGCTTTTGGGCAAGTTAAGTCAACTTAAATGTTTATAAGCTTATTTGGAAAAACATTCAAGAAAATTTTTATTATTATGGCTTCAGAATTTCCAACAAATTCTATAAATTACTTATTTTTTTGGGTCATATTAGAAGTATGAAAATATTTCTGTCTCGATTATGAAATAGGTTTTTATGGCTAAAAAATAAAATAGTTTTTTTTTTCAAATAGCATAAATTAGTTATTGAAATAGTTATCAAATTCTAAATTCTAGTCTATTAAAAGCGAAAATGTTAAAAAAAAAAACTCATATTTTGTTTACAGATATTTTAAGGTATGGTAATAAAAATTTCACAAAATTATTAACTAAAGTATTTAATCCAAATTATTGTTATTATCTAAATAAGAAAGTAGGATTACTTCTATGTAATCCTATAAATAATATATTTATGTTTCAATGATATATATGTATTTGAAAAACACAGTTATAATACTAACTGTCAGGTCTTCTAAGCGTCTTGGGACATATATCAGTTTGGACAATAATAAGTTCAAATGATTTTGTTTATCTGGAGTCTTGCGTAAACAAAAGAGTTGATGTCAGCCTACCAATTTCACAAATAGATGCAACTTTGGGTTAAGTTAAGAAATTAAGTCTTTTCTTGTCAAATAAAGATTACGCTCTATAAGTCTCTTAGCATGCCTGTGGTACTAAATCCTACGGAATCTTGGACAATAGCCAAAAGTGATAAAAGATCATTAAGAGCATTTAAGATTTAAATTCTTCCAAATATATATGAAAGTTATAATTATAAGGATATATGCGTTGTTTGATCAATACTGTGACAATAACAAAGTTAAACTTTTTAAAATGAAACAGCTTCGCATAAATGATTATTTTGTACTAATTGAAGAAAATACTTATCCAAAGAGGTGTTTGATACAATAACTGCTACTGCAAGTACCAGGTGATAAATAACTTGAAACCATTCGGTACTGCCAATTAAGAACAGCTCATCAGCTGGCTCATGGAGTTTGTTGGATGAGGCGAAAAATGTTTTATCTCTGTAAAGATCAACGTCAAGATATATTGACGTGATTTTTAAATAATTTATATCCGTTATGTACTTAACTAAACTCAGTTACTGAAAAACTACGCTGGGCGTTAGCTAATTATTGTCCGTTTTTTTAGAGAATTCTTATTGCATATTCCTTAAAAAAAAACAATAGCGAAAGTATCAATTACCAATTAGATAGATAGATCCTCCTCGGGGACTGCCACTTTGACGTGGTGAGAAAGCCCAGTATTTCCGTAGAATCTTCAAGTGATGCTGGCTTTGCTCCATTTTTTAACTATTTTCTGGAAATAAAGCATGAGTCTAAACCCGATGGAACTACACTCTCCAAATGGTACCCGCACATATATGGCGAATCCACTTGCTTTCGCAGCACACACATCGGATTTGGAGGTAAGTAACTTACGTTTAAACAGAATCTCTTCGTTCCGTACAACTGTAACCACATGGCGCAATGTTTCCCTGGGAACGCAATGGAATGAAGACGATTATATAGATAGTGTTAGAAATATAGTACTTTTCTAATAAAAAAGTCACAAAAAAAAAATTTATATTAGCAATTAGTGTCAACAAAAAGCTTCAAAAAGCCGGAAGAATGGTATCAACACATTTTAAAAAATATCAACAAAAACTGATGGTGCATAAATATTAATTTTTTATTAATATCGTATCTCATTAAGAAGACTGTCTAAAGTTTACAAAGTATTTGAAATTTCTAGATGTAATAAGTATTATAATTTATATTGGATTGATAAGGTACGAGTACTTTAACCAGTTGTATGTATTTCAAGTGCTCAAATACGTACATATACATATGTATGTTCTAATGTCTATCTTTTATGTTTTTATTTCTAGTGTCAAAGTCAATATTTATCGTCGACACTGCGAATACAGTTCAGATTAGGTTCGAAATTTGCTGCAAATATCTCAGTCTGAATATTTAATACCAAAACTTCACAGCAACCAAAGCAATAAAAGGCACAGTAAAGGACATGTGTGAGAGATGTACGAAGTTTCTGCACTGTTTTTGACATTTATTATAGTCCACTAAAATAGAGCAGACCTATATGTGTAATAAATAACAGCAAAAAGTGTTTCAAAAGACTTTTGGTATGATTTTTGAATGTACGATTCCATTTAATACATCGTGAAATTAATGTGCATTTGCTTTAAAGTAAACATTTATTCCATTAAAATCGTGTGTAAGGGGATTATTTGTTGAAAATATTGCATTATAAGAAATAATAACAACAAAAGTAAGTAAACAAGTAAGTAAAGTAAAGTAATAAGTAAGTAAAGTAAGTAAGTAAAAAAAAGTAAGCAAAAGTAGACCATTATTAAAGAAGGGATTTACACTGTGAGATCTATTGTGCCCATACAGACCATACAGATGTTTCAAATATCATCAAATATTCATTGTCATTAGGATTTGGAAATACTTTTGCCTTATAGTCCATTTATTTCTTTCCTTTGCTATTATTAAATCGAACATTTAAACACTATCTATAACAAACGAAAGAACTACAAAATTTTAATAAATCATAAATAAAATTTTAAGCTATCTGCTGTATGCAAATGTTTTATTAATTTTGATATCCACTTACAATTTTTTGATATTATTACTTCAATATTTCTTTAAAAGCTTTTCAAAGAAAATCATTCCAAATCAAAAGGAAGCACTTTTATATTATATCACATATGGTTTCCTAGAACATATCTTTGTCTCACCTGCTGTGTTGTGTTCCACTTCTAAGGTTTTAACAAAATTATTTGCTTTCAAATTGTGAACAAAATAAAGTGTGAAAATAACAAAGTCTGGCGCGAACCAGTAAGTCTTCCACCTTATGAGATACAAAACCAGCGGCTGCAGAGACGTCACTTGCAGATTTCCATATGGCAATGAGCCGTAAGTGACTTACATTTTTTTTTTAAATATCAAATTCGAAACCGTGTACGTTTTCTTTTATATTTCAATAAAATACATTTTCAACAGAATTTTATTAAAAAATTTACTCAGCAGTAGTGCGAGTTTGACTACTGCATATATATATATCAAAGTACAGCGATATCTTCATAATGTTACATATCATATAAAAATGTATTTTATTTGTATATATAAGGATTCGTATAATATTATAAGACTTTTACATAAGACGAAGGTGTTAGAAAAGTATCTGCTTACAAAGTGAACTACAATAAATTGATTTCATACTTAAAATACATTAAATTTACTCTTCAATATAAGAAATATGTTGATATCAAGCTAAAGGGTATTCTACTCATATATATCAATATACAAATTTGACTTGATTTTCCAATACTTTGTCAAGAAATTAGTTTTATTCCATAAGTTTTAATAGAATATAGAAAACAAAAATTCATAGGTTGACTAAGATAACAATTGAGAATAAAACATTCTAACAGAAATGGATGTCATTTATAATCATGATTACACCATTTTAAAATCCACAATAAAAATACAGAAGTCTTGACTTTTTCTATTGAGACTGTGTGCTAAATGGATAGCACTGTTTCATCTTAACTCTTACTGAAAATATATGTGATGCCAAAAACTATTATAAAGATATAAAAATGTATGTTAGGTAATCCACACAGCTTTCATTGTAACGTTGATCAATAGATCACTCGGGCTACCTCATAAGTCTTTCTACAAGGATTGCGGCGATAGATCCGACAGTTTGCAGTTGTATCTTTTAATAATAATACTGCTTTTCTCCATACAGCTATGGGAATATAGGTTCTTATATATGGAAATATGAAATATTTCTAAAAGAATAAAGAATAATGTATATGATAAATAAATGTGTATAAGTGCTGTTTCTAGTAATAATAGGTATGAAACCTAAGAATACATATTTTCCTATCGAATTCTATATCAAAATAAACTTGGTTCCTTATTTTGTCTGAATGTTATTTATTTTTTTTTTTAAATTTTTCAATAATAACTGAATATAAAAGAGATGTTTTAAATAAAGATTATGTTGATTCTATATAAAAGGATCTTATTGACATATAGTTGAAGCTTAAATATCTTAAAAAGTCAATTACAATTATTAAAATTTTCTTTTAATTTTTTAAAACATTTAATGTGATAAGTCAAATAAAACTCTTATGATAGTAAATCGGCGAGAAAGACGTTCCAATAAAAATATAAAAAAAGCTAAGCAATGCATTCCTAAGTAAATAATGTATAATCCTGTCAGCATACCATTATTAATACTATATACTTTATAAACGCTTTGATTCATTTTCATAAATTTTCTTTTAACATATTTCTTCTCCAAGTGCGACATTATTCCGGCACTCATTAAAAGTTTGATTTTTTTATCGAAGGGATATTTTAAAACGGAACGTTTTTGAAAGTACATCATCGTATGAAACAGATATATTGGCTCATTGATGTACGTTAGACAACTGGAATTCCAATTCAAGCTATTGAAGTGTGCCAAGTTATCCACCATAGAAACTGTAGTTAACTTCGAATTCTTAGCTTGGTTTACTACATTAAAACGACTTATATAGTTAGTGGGAACGATAATTGTAAGATTTGCTGGATAAAAGTCTAAATGTGCTGAAGCCAACAAATAAAATTTTTCATGTATTAGTTCTCCTATAGTACGCGGTAAGTGTACACGATGAGCAACACGCATAACATCAAATAATTTTCCCTGATAGGAGTTTCGTAGTAATAAGGTTAATAACATCCACAACATAAGTAGAAATCGGGCAAAATTACGTCTTGGTAATTTAGTTATGGGATTTCCTAAATAAATCGTTAACAAATTTACTACTGGTCCACTATTTTCTGCACCAAATATAAATTCCCGCAATTTGGCACAGCCCCATAGTTTAACGACGATTATGCACAATATTGCTATAGTAAAAATCGTAAATTTACATCGCCAAATTTCATTATGAAAAGGTCTGACTAATTGAATGAGAGCGTTATAAGTCAAATCACTCCGCACCACGAAAATGAAAGTACTTTGGTAGTAGGTGCACGATGAAGAGAATATATAGTGGCTAACATGCGAAGCACTAAAACTGCCAATAGCTATTTCAGTTTCATCGTTTTCTAGCTATAAAATACATAATATTATTGAAGATTAAATATATTTAATATATAGATATATATAATATTTACCAAACCAAAACAGCCGGTGGAGTTATGGTTAAAACCAATTAGGCTTCTCTCATTCGGAAACAGTAGGCGCAGTGAGAAATTCATACTCTTCGCTACAATTTTTATCATGTCTCCTTCTATGCCTCGTAAACGGATTGGATCAGAAAGGGGTTTTGGATTGTTGACATCGTCTACCAATTGTACTAAGGGCGGTAAATCATGTACACACAACCTCAAGGTACAATTTAGCATATCCGTAAGCCGTTTTGGGTATAACCAGTTGTTCAAAATTTTACCGTTTCGGAACCTGTTAACGAAGCTTAGTTCGATACCTTCCCAGCAGCCGTCACCAAATAAAACAAAGGTATAAAATTCAATACTTCCATCAAAATCTTCATACATAACAATGGTGTTGAGTATTTTAATATCTCTTATTTGAAGGAATAAGGAATGCAATAATTTGTAGCGTTCATGGAAATTTCTAAAATTTTTTGTCAAAATGATAAGAAAATGAAATTCGTGCTCATACATGGAAAGTGGAAATGTCAAGTTTAAGTTCCTACAAAAGTTAATTAACATTACTAGCAATTAAATTTAATTACTGAACAACTACTCACAAAAATGCTTCCAGTGAATCTATGATGAACATATTATATATGTTTGGTAGTTTACCGGTTACATCTAAATTCAACTGCACTGCCATTGATGCTTCAAAACCTTGCAGGAATTGCACTAAAATCCGCATGTGTAGTTCCTCCTGCACTTTCTCGCAGTTCAAGCATTTTTGAAAAATTAATAATGAATTTGAGTCCTTGCTCATATATCGCTTCGTCACATACAGTGCCGCTTCAGTCAGCTTCTCTTGAGGTTCCTTTAATAGGCCTTCAATGAACACATTTGAAACGGTTTTTTTAATAAGGAAAATAATGACAAATAATGTAAAAAAATAGTTAAAATTCATAATAAACATTCGTTGTCGACTGATTGAGGTTCTATCATAGACGTTTTATTTTTGCATACAACCTTAAAAATTGCTAGCATGCAGTATGGCAATTAATTAATGATATTATCAATTATTAATTGATTAATTTTTTAATGTTATCCTGCATCAGATTACACACATTTTTCTTCTCACAATTTTAATTAATTCTTTCAATTACTATGAGATATCATATTGAATAGATTTCAATGTCACCAGTTTCTGAAATTAATTAAATACATAAATTCAATAATATCTTTAAAAAAATATACTTTTAATTCAAATCACTTAGTGGAATTATTAATATTAAAATTAGTTTTAAAGGTCTTTTTAAAGACCTATAAATTATTATTACTACGAAACGCTTATAAAACACTGGCACTTTAAGTTCTATTGTGCTATTCTATTCTATAAATTTTATGCTATTAAAACTAGCTTTACTAAGACCTAGATCGATTGTTTCATTAAAGCTTTCTGAGTGAGTAGTAATATTTGTACCATAATATACGTATATCTTAAATCATCATCAGATGTTATGCATCCCTTAAATATTTTTTCTGTTTATACATATATGCGGCTCTGTATATAGTTAGTAGTAGTTAAAAACTACTTGAGAGTGTCCTAATCTTAAAAAGATAGTTCAAATAATATTGATTATTTTTACACTTTACATATTTTAGCTGCAGATAAATGCATGTTAGGAGTGCTGTTTACTAATTCTAGTAAATCTACTCTTCCGATATCGTTATATATACTTTCATTAACAAATCTTGTTTTCCGTACTTATGCAAAAATGTAACAAAATCTTTATTATTAGTTTTCAATCAACTCATATCATGCTTGATGGAATGATTGTAACAGATACCTAGCATTTAAGTTATACATTCTAACAAATCAACCGTAAGGTGAATTCTTCTAGTATAAAATTTTAAAAATTTAACAAAATAAGGGATCAACTCTTGAAGATTTAAGTAGCTGAGTATTGTACTCGTACTGCATATGATTTAAGAATGTCAGGTTTACATCTAGAGAGTTTAGGTTAGCAGCTATGGTGATTTTTATAGCATACTGCTTAACTTTAAAAATCACAACAAATTCTGCAGCTTATACTATTGATAGTATTATTCTAAAGGATTCATTAAGCCATGCAATTATTTCTTAAATATACCCCTTGCATTTGGATACCAAAATTCTGAATATCTAACGGGGCATTGCAGTCTGAGGTATTTCTATCCCCTATTTAACTGCAACACGCTTCCTTTACTGAAAAAATTAATTGAAATTTATTTAAAAGTAACGAAAACGTTTAAAACCATCAACGAAACCCACAAACACCCACATAACCACAAGTCAGCCAGCCTGACTAAAAGCAATGCAATTTCCACATTCATCAAAAATTTAAAATTAATGTTTATGTTTTCCATTTTCAGAAACTTTTATTTTTAGTGTTGAATGACGTAAGGAATGAAAATTCCGGTACTTATATTTCATTTTCACACCTCCACAAATATGCATGAGTACTTTTAAAAATTCAACGTACATAATATTGTAGTTAAGTATTATAATTAAAGTTAAGTGATAACGGATATAATGAAACAAAAATAAATAAATTTATGTGTATATATACATATACATATATGTATATGCATACATATATATACATATTATATATAATTTATAAATTAATAGCAGGTTATAAATCTTTATTTGCATATTGATTGTAAAGAAGATTGTGTCATTGATGGCACGCTCAACTAATTATTTACTTTTTGTCAATAATTGAGGCAGAAACTACTAGAATATTTATTTTTATGTATATATATTTAATTCATCTTTTATTTATGTAAGCCGTGAGTTAATTTCACATTTGTTTCAAAACATATTAAAATAAATCACTGAAATGAAGACATTTGTTTGTACCGAACCAATCGTTTAGAGTAATGCATCACTGGACCGACCCACTTGCTAAGCTAGTAACATGTATTGTATAGTATCCTACTGCAGAGTTTCTCAATCGCCGATTAGTGGAGTACCGCTAGTCTTTAGCATTAGCATATATAGTCGTTAAATGATTTAAATTTCAGTCATTGCTATATTATTATTTGGGAAAATCTTTGTGCTAGTCCTTGCAAAACACATCAAATGTTTATATGATCCATAGTTAGAGTTAGGTTGAAAACATTGTCAACTTACAGTGACAGTATAAGGTTTGAGCCCACTTTGATGCCGATTCATACACTATCCAAAAATAATATATGAAACATTTAATCATTTCTTAAGCTCACGATTTCTTCATTTTATGCCACTGAAAAGATAAATGTATACATTAAAATAACTTATAGCCGACTAATCACATAAATTGTCATACATCGATCTTTGACAAAACACAATTTACAATAATCAAAATTACCTATATAAGTCCGTCACTTGTATTTATTAAGACATGTACAGAAAAATGTCTAACAACTATAATATCTTCCTAGCTGAAATCCTGGGAATAATGAAACAGGTAAAAAGATATTAGAGAACATCAGTTTGCATTAGTCAGGGCAAAAAGGTCTGAATATGCCGTTAACATCTCATGCAAGCTTTCACTTTCCGGAAAGCCAATGCTGGATCAAAAAATCATGCTATACCGATTTGACAACAACACACAATTTTATAAGAACAATAGAATCGCCAAGAGGATAAATGTGATAGCGTTAGAATTATGTCTGAATAATATCTGCAACGATTAAGTTAAACAATACAGCGTATACCATCTGTCATATTATAGGCTTTTTATTCGGCTTTTAACATTTCAAGATCATATAATCTAGAAGTGCTATTAGTACATACATAATCTACATTTCTAAACTCTCCAATAAAAGAGTTATCAAAATTATTCAAAAAGACACTTAGAAGAGGAAAATTAGTCCCACTGTAAATATCACCAAAATGGAACTATAAATGATTTAATTCTATTGACGATAGCCGCTTATCGTATAATCTTAACTATAATATAATTTTTATTAAATAATTTGTATTTTAAGTGTGTCAAATGCTGTTTCCCTAATTTAATCAAAAACGCATTACCAAATCAGATACATCTATATTAATTTCATTAGATGCCTTCATCGTAAGCACATAATATATTTTAATGTACTTTTAATTTGCCAACATATCAATCAATATTGTCAGTAAATAAACATTTAATTAACACTTTAAAACATTTTCATATTTATTTTTCAACAATTTTATTCATTGACACATTTATGAATTAATTTTCATAGTCGTTGTAGGAATTATTAATGAAAATTGTTCACAGTTGACGTCACCATTGAAAATGATTTAATTTATATTAACCATATATTGCATTGTCATTTCACACGAAGTAAATGTTGAATGGCACAATGAATATTTGCATTTACTGAATCATTCCAAGTATTGTATTTCAGATTCGAATATGAATAATTGAAAATCCATTGATGAAAATTAGGCTTTCACAAATGTTTGACTTCACTTAGATATTTACAAACATACCCATTATCTGTAGTTTTAGGTTATTTATCAGTTCTAATAACACTATTCAGCACTGAAATTAATACGAGTTTATATGAATAAAAAAATATTGTATTGTACTCATACGATATTAAATTATATGTTCAAATTAATTAAGTATCTGAACAATACGAACATACAAAAGATTTATACACAGGCACCAGTAAAAACTGGTAAATGAGATAGAATTGAAAAAAAATTATTTTAAATCTAAGCGCCAACTAATTTTTCACCAAGAGTAAAACTACAACCTCGGCTTTCCACTTTCCATTGATATGTCAGTATATTTTTGACCAATAAAAACAAACCTAAAATAAAAATTTAAACGCAATTGGATACTTTGGAGGAAAAGTAAAGGTGTTCGGTGAATTACATTAATTTATAAGTTGGTTTATTTCCTCACTGGTCTTTCCGCAAACATTTGCGCTTGTGTCCGAATCTTTGAAAGAGGATTCTGTGCACTCTTCAATTAACCTGAAATAGGTGCCGAGTCATTAGCAAATGGTAGGCCAACGAATGTCGCCAGTACTGGTACGTAACTAAACTTAACATCAATTCTAATTTTTTTGACTACAAACAAAATATTTCACAGTAACGACCCATAGATCACATATATTAAACTTCGTGGCCCGCCACAATTGTAAAAGAAGATCTGTTTGATTTAGTTTGCCTCTTACTAACTGATGAAAGATATTCTCTTACATCGCACTAACAAAAAGATATAGTGTTAAAGTGCTTAAAGAGCCAAAGTGAACCGAATCTTTTTACGCAATGGGCTATCACTGATATCCTCTATATCTTACAAGTGTACAGTTCATTTAATACTGTTCGCAATAATATTGAAGACAATTCACGTGAATGTGTTCCAAAAAACTGCTCTAATATCAGGAATTTATTACAGAAATGTAAACAAAAGCATATGGTCTTGAAAAATCATGGATTATTCAAATTGGATTCAATATGTTGAGTAATATCATGTTTTGAATTTCAAGTAACTTTATACACAATTAGTGTTTTTTTTTAATAAAGCATTAAAGCTAAGCAGCTGTGTGTACCCGGGTTCACAGCTATGAATCCAGTTCGTAACCAAAAATCGGCCCATAAAGTTATCATTAGGTTTTTTAGATGCAAAAATAATTTCGTTTGTAAGTTACTACCAAATAAAATGTTGCAATAATTAGGTTATTCGTCCGATTTAGATGTCCCTGATTTATCGCTCTTTTTAT